GAAGAAAGAAAGAAAGAAAGTCCACCTGGATTCTTTGCAGAAATTGACAAGCTAACCCTAAAATTCATATAAAAATGCAAGGGATCCAGAATAGTCAAAACAATCTTAAGAGGAGAAACAAAGTTGGAGATATCGTACTCCCAATTTCAAAACTTACTATAAAGCTACAGTAATTGACAGCATGGTACTGGCATTAGGATAAACACATAAACCACTGGAATAGAATTGAGCCCCCAAAAATAAAGTTGGACTTTATCAAAATTAAAAACTTTTCTGATGCAAATGAAACCATCAGGAAAGTGAAAAGACAATACACAGAATGAGAGAAAATATTTGCTAATGTATCTGACAAGGGATTCATATCCCAAATATATAAAAAACACTCACAAGTCAATAAAAAAAATCCAAATTTTAAATGGGCAAAGGGCTTAAATGTACATTTCTTCAAAGAAGAAATACAAGTGACCAATAAACATTAAACTATACTCGACATCATTAGTTATGAGGAAAACACAAATCAAAACCATGATGAGATAGCATTTTGCAACCGCTAGGATAGCTATAATCAGAGACAGATAATAATAAGTGCTGGTAACAATGTGGAGACTTTGGAACCTTTATCACTGCTAATGGGAATATAAATTGATACAGCCGGTTTAGAAAACAGTTGGACAGTTCTTCAAAATGTTAAGCATAGAGTTACCAAATGACCGAGCAATTCCACACCTGGGCAGATACCCAATATAAGTGAAAACATATCCACACAACTGTCTTACCCTCAAAAACATTGTGCATGAACATTTGTAGAAGCATTATTCATAATAGTACAAGTGTCAAAAATCCAATGGCCATCAACTGATGAATGGTAAAATGTGGTATATCTATATACAAGGGAACATTATTCAGCAATAAACAGAAAATAAATATCGATAAATGCTGTACCATGAATTAACCTTGAAAATATTATGGACAGTGAAAGGGAGCAGTCGAAAAAGACTGCATGTGGTATGATTCATTAATATGAAATTCTCATTCCAGGCAAATCTACAGATGTAGAAAGTAGATTAGTTGTTGCCAGTGGCTATCGGCAGGGAAGACTAAAATGTCCTGAAGGCAGGGCAATGAAAATGTGGCAGATTAGATAGTGGTGATGGTTGCACAACTGTGAATATACTAAAAAAATTCTTTTGAGCACATTAAATGAGTAAATTGTGGTATGTAAATTATTTCTAAATACAGCTTATTTTCTTAGAAGTAAAAAGC